CACACACGCACGCACGCACACACGCACGCACGCACACACACACACACACACACACACACACACACACACACACACACACGGACGCACACACGCGGCTATGGTCGCACGCACGCTTGTATATTGGTACGCGTGTTTGTATGCGCGTGATTGCACGTACGTGTGCGCATCTCCCGCCGCATTCCTTCCTCCCACGGTCCCTCCCTCATTTACTCTCCTCTTTCCTTCCTCCTCCCCTTTCCCTCCCTTCCCCTCAGTATTTGCCTCTCCTTCCCCCAAATGGTATCGCATACAACCTCTATAGCACCGCAGTTTACCAACAGGTCGCCAGCCGTTTTTCAGCCAAAACTTACTATTATTTTTACGATTACTATTACTATATTAGATAGAATATGTGCATACGTGCGTGCGTGTGTTCCGTACGTGCCGTACGTGCGTTTGTCTGCGCGTGTGACTGCGCCTGCGTGTGCACATCTCCGTCTGCATTCCTCCCTCCTTTCTCTCCTTTTTCCTTCCTGCTCCCATCTCACTTCCTTCCCCTCAATATTTCCCTCCCCTGTCGCGGATAGTATCGCCCACGGCATCAGGTGCACGGTGAAAAGTTGCCAGGCAAATGGCTTGTTTTCAGCCTCAACTTTTTCACCCTATCAAAGCACAAAATATGTCTATACGGCTATACTACGCAGTTTTACAGTCACATAAACACACATATACACCCACTAACGGACGCGCACACGCGGGTATCGTCGCACGCACGCGTGCGCGTGTATTATAGGCGTAAATTCACATTTTGTGCCTCGTGGGTTGAAAAAGTTTCGGCTGAAATACGGCCATTTACCTGCAAATGTTTTTCCATGCTTGACTGGTCGTGGGCGATACCATCCGCGAGAGGGGAGTAAGGAAGTGAGCAAGTACTAGAAGAACGGAGATAGGCGAGTATATATATATATATATAGGCCTACATATATATTTATCGCGCACAAGAAAGAGAGAAAAAGAGAGGGAGAGAGTCACAGAGAAGGAGCGAGTGAGTGAGCGAGAAGGCGAGAGAAGTAACTAGAGACTAATTATATATAATGTATTATGCACATCGATTTATATCATTTCCTACTTCAAATAGCTGTGACCTATATCTCTCTCTCGCTCTCTCTAGCGTGTAACCTCGCTTTTTCTCTGTCTAGCGTGTAACCTCGCTTTTTTTCTCTGTCTAGCGCGTACCCTCTCTTTTATTCTCGCGTCTTCCAGTGAGGAGCGAAATGTTGGCAGCGGAACAAAGGTGAGACAATTATGAGGAGACAATCTTATAAACTGTTTTTGTGTGTAGTATAACGAAAGGGTATATACCTTCACAGATATAACAGGATATAAAGGGTATATACCTTCACAGATATAACAGGATATAAAGGGTATATATACCTTCACAGATATAACAGGATATAAAGGGTATATACCTTCACAGATATAACAGGATATAAAGGGTATATATACCTTCACAGATATAACAGGAGACAGTAGGCTGCACTCAGAAGAGGCATTTTATTTTCAATAAATATTACATATGCGGCTATACTGTTACATGCAGCAATGCCAAACTTTACAAAACAATGCGAAACAATTGCGTAAACTCTCAACTAAATTCAAACTGGCAATGTTGAACCTGAGCTCACTCGTGACCAGTATGAAACATTGACTAGATTTTGCTAGGACTATATGTTCTCTAAAGTTCATTTGCTGTCCGTCGGCACGCCAAAACAAACTCAAAATTTCACGACATTTCCAATGGATAACTTTTTCTGGAATGAGGAATGAGGGTGCCTTTTGCGAAGATTGCCAATTCATCACTTGCTGAACTGCAGTCAATTTTACTGCAGTGTTTACTGGGGGTCTGTTTATTCACGTGCGCAAAGCAGAGCTTCGCGTTTCAATATCCACCAGATCTCGCTCACTAGTCACACATAACGCCCCAAACTTTCTCACCGCTAACTTCATAATCGTTGACTGTCATAATCATGTACATCTTTAATAAACCTACAATAGATTATCAACAAAAAACCCCACACGATTCAGCAATATTGTGCATCGTTAAACATTCACGTGATTTTGCCGGTTGTTCTGCAGTGCGGCTGAACAATGCTATTAAACACAGGAATAAATCAGGAAACCGAGCAACGGCATCTCTCACTACAAACCTCTGACCAATTTTAGCTCCCCACAGCAGCCGGCTTTTGCTGTGCGATGCAAAAATCTCCATGTACCTGCACGCACCACTGATCTATATATAACAGATGTAACAGTTATATATAGGTGAGTGGTACGCACACGTTTTCTCTCGCGCTAGCAGACGAGCTTTCCCGCCATCAGCATTGTTCACGCGCACAGCAGTCACCGGTGGCGACACCTGCTGGTCCTCGTAACTGAAAATGAATCTCAGTGATTACGCTTCCATTACTTGATAACTCAGTCGAATAAATAACCTACTATACATCTTGCTCGTCCCCATGGGTTTACATGCATGAACCTCCGCGCGTTGGACTGACAATCCACCTGATCTCACTCGTTATCACACCGATATCACACTACCATAAAGCAATTCCCATTACAGCAACTAGGTACGAGTAACCCGCCTTGTTGGCGATGTGTGACCATGCTTAATCTAAACAAGGAGCACGAAATACGATAGCTAGTGACGATCAATGGCTGACGACGATAGCATATATCCTTTCACCATTTCCCCCTCCAATGGCTTCAAGGATTGGTCACCTTCTAACCTTCATTGTGTCGCGGGGGGGGGGTGAAACCAAAACTATTACACATATCAAAAATGTATTTTCCTCTATCGTTTCCACTGACTAGACAAGAATATACACTACTAGAACACATTCAACAAGAAAATAACCTGAATTTTCTGCGAACCACGTCGAAACCAATCGCTGGGTTTGTCAAAGCCACGATAGAAAGCCACGTCATTGCCGAGGCGCATCGAAATGGCGGCAGTCGTTTACAAAATCTGCTAGTTCTGCCGTAAGTAAGTGTGAACGCAATGCTTATACAAAGCCCCCCAAAACACGCATCTGCCGTACCGTGGGTGAAAAATGGTAATTTTCTTGTTGAATCTATACTTTATTATACTACTCATAATTCCTGGAGCACAACCATCTGATCAGTGACTTTGACCCTTATACGACAATCGCTATTAGCAAAAAACACTATTAACCCGGTCATTAAAGTGACCATCGTGAGGGACCACCGAGTGCACGCGAAATGAGTCTGCCAGTAACAGCGACGTACCGCCATTTGCAAACAAAATATTTCGTCGTCGACTGACCGTTCGAAATGCTGCATTGCCACCGGGTGTTGACCGTAGACTGACAAACGGAACTTCGAAAAAAGTCGAACGGACTAGGAGAAACGCTTCAACACAGAGACGTTATCTCGTATAACTAAATACTCGTAATAGAACTTGGCGGTGGGCTGTGCCATTTTTGTTCGCGGATATTTTACGGGGGAAAGTGCTGCGACACGTCACAACGTTGTGTGTCATCACGTATGACTCACACTAAGCCCTCGTATTGGGAACACTCCGCCATCTGTAGCGAAATACAGCTACTCCGCAAGGGGTTGTAAAATATCAAGAAAAGCTACGCGGGCGAACTGAAAAACGTGTGCGAAACAATATAAAACTTGCAAAAATATCAACAGATTCTGTACATGGCTCATCACGTGTCCTCTGACGTCATACATAAAATATCGTCGTCACACGCGCACGCACACACGCGCACGCACACACGCATACGCACACACACACGTATGTCAGTATAATAGCTAATTGTGGATGTCATATACACTCGACTAAAATTTAACAGGCTTTACCTCTCTAACTACATTAGCTTGATGCAGCTACCGATGTGTGTGTATAATATATATATATATTATACACACACATATACACACACCGACTATTATTGTTCACTTCTCGTTTACTATTTGCAAAGAACCTGTAAGCTTTATTTACACACGTTTCCGACTCTATGAGAACGACGAAGCTGTGCTGGTTGTATCATCTCACTACGAATTCACCACCAAAAGTAGTATGAACCGCTTGATTCGGCCCCACGACTCAGAATTACAACGCTGTGTGAGAGTTCATAGCTTACACTGTTGTCACACACGCTGCACATTCTGACGCTGAAGGCGAGCAGAAGTGTGTGTGTGTGTTCGAGTGTCTAATTCACGAAGAGAAATGCTTGTTTTAAACACGCGCGTTGCTATATATATACGATATACACTACGAATAAATTACACGTAATTAACATAATTTTACACTCGTCTCGTAAGCCTGCAGTTCGAGTTGCACGACGTACGTCCTCGCTAGTCGACGATCCACAGCTGCATATATGCAATTAATACAACCTGTGCCTACAGCTACATAATATAGTGTCTCCTCTAAACTACGTTTTGTAACTTGCACCATTTAGGTAAATATAGATTTGTAGATATGGACTTACTGCTTCCCACACCCCCACCCTCTAAAATCATGCCATCCTCACGCTCAAGAGCTGCTGCACTTGAAAACAAATCAAGCAAATTTGTCCAACTTTGAGATATATTTGCAATCTCTCTCTCTCGCGCGCGCTCTCTCTCCCCCTGTTCTCTGTATTTCTATCGTCTCGTTCCGAGGCTGTATATGCATAGCAACACGGATTGAACCAGACGGATCCCTGACAAGCACACACACACTCTCTCTTTCTTGCTTTCTCTATCTCTCGCTATCCTGACTCTAGATGGAAGGGCTTAGATAAAACCCCTCGCTAACAACATAGAGGATGGTGAACAGCGCTACTGCTGCAGCGCATGCGCCGTCTCGTCTTTTCTGTAAATATATTTCAGAGTGCAAATCATCGTCGAAACAATATCCCCAGGCGGTGGAAACCCACGCTTTCACACGTAGGCTGTTCCCACTGCATGACTAGATGACTATAGGATTTAACCTATCTGTCGGTTATCCCACCTACGAGTATTATGCAGCACTAAAACACACGCGTTGTCCAAACCACGACCTTGACATGATCTTCAGTTGATTGTTGTTCCTCCGGTCCTTCCTCGCGCGTATGTTCCTCTATTTGTTTGCGCTGTTCCTCTCTCTCTCTCTCTCTCTCTCTCTCTCTCTCTCTCTCTCCTGCCGCTGATTTAATTATCGATACGTTATTCATAAGCTATACGTGTAAGTAGTAAACATACATCACAGAAACAACATGGTCATATAACGCGATGTCCATATATCGAGATAAATAGTCGGAATAAGTAAATATTTCTCATCAAGATACACGAGTAACGGGGTTTCCGTCGTCACCATGGTGACGATGACGTCACGCACACACGTGCACACGGTCGCCCATGCTATCAATCACCAACAGTTACATCTTTCATGGGAGCGACAGAGATTCGTGAGCTCCTCCCCGTACTGCGCATGCACCAGCTTTCTTCCACGCTGGTTTCCTTCTAGATACACCTCATCAAAACCCTGCATGCCTTAATTAAAGCCGCACCAATCCAACCACCGAAATTCCCTATACTAGAACTAGACACGTTTCATAGACTGCCTTATCCACCGTTGCTGTTACAACCCACGGCACAAACATAGTACGAGTGCTATTTTATGTGATCGCACCGAAGACTGACTGCATAAATCCACCGTTACATTATTAATCATCGTCAACGTCACTGTCGTCACTGTCGTCGTCTGGAAACGTCAAAGGTTTGTTCCGTACACATCTCACCGTGAGTGAAGTACGTGCACGCGCAATCCACCGGTGACTCATCGCAATTAAATTAGGCGAAAGCGTCTTTACGTTATACATTTATACACGAATTACAGCATAATTTACACGGTTTCGCAGTAGCTAGTAGTTAAGTAGACGACATAAAATTTAGGCTGCCCTCTGTGCAGGTACGGGATGCGGGGCCGCGCATGCGCATTGCATCATCAACCACGAGCACCCTGCGGAAGGTGCACAACTCTCTCTCTCTCTCTCTCTCTCTCTCTATCTCCCTCTCTCTTTCTCGCTCGCCCTCTTTCTTTCTCTGGAGATCTGTACAAACACTCATCAAACACTCGCGACCCCACGACGGACCCCCTCCCTCCTCCCTCCCTGCAGACTGCTGCCAGACTCACACGCGCTGGGGGGGAGCAAAGGACACGCCGTAGCCATAACAACTGTAGCCATGGCAACAGTGGATCGCGAGTTAAACATTATAGACGTAATGAAACGCGGTGATTGCAGTCTCATTGTTACGCTGATGCACGATGACATGTTAACAACAATGACAGAGTTTGGATGGCCTGCAAGGAAACGTAATCTGTAAAGAGGTGCAAGGCTCATCAGCAGGTGACACGTTACGCCCCCTGGCGACGAAATCCCCTTGCGTCGACCTCCGTTTCATATCTAAACTGGTGCGTGCGCGAAATCTCGCGAGAATCAGTGCAAAATGTGGTTCAGTGTACTGCTGATAACTTGTTTCGATACGAATGCAGGCTGGGAAGACCCTATGAGATGAGACAACACATGTAGAGGGCGGTGCGTGCGTGCGAGCGACACAGGACCAGCCTGTAGGACCGCCGGGACGCCGCCACCACCCCCTCATGTCTCCTCCTCCTCCTCCGAAACTAAAATATATACAAAATGTCTATCACAGTTCCCATGTGCATTACGTGAGTGCGTCAAGTGAAATTCTGATATGAGACGTCGCGCTCTCTGAGACTCTGAGAGTCGGTTTGTAATAGAACAGAAATCTCGTTACCGCTCGCGCGCGTGGGTGCTGGGGGGGGGGACCTTGACCAGTAGCAATAACTGCATGGGTTGTCACTCCCGCTGGCGTGCAAGTCTGCAGGCGATCGATTCCCACGTACCCCTGTCTACAGTCAGACAACCTATCTGTCTACAGTCAGACAACCTATCTGTCTACAGTCAGACAACCTATCTGTCTACAGTCAGACAACCTATCTGTCTACAGTCAGACAACCTATCTGCCATGATCATGACGACGCACAACCAAGATATCCATGCGAATCACACAGACTTGTTACATGGCCATCACATTAGGGTCCCTATCATATTAGGGTCCCTATCACATTAGGGTCCCTATCATATTAGGGTCCCTATCACATTAGGGTCCCTATCACATTAGGATCCCTATCATATTAGGGACCCTATCATATTAGGGTCTCTATCATATTAGGGTCCCTATTATATTAAGGTCCCTATCATATTAGGGTCCCTATCATATTAGGGTCCCTATCATATTAGGGAACCTATCACATTAGGATCCCTATCATATTAGGGACCCTATCATATTAGGGTCCCTATCACATTAGGGTCCCTATCACATTAGGATCCCTATCATATTAGGGTCCCTATTATATTAAGGTCCCTATCATATTAGGGTCCAAGCCTTACAAGGGAGGACGCGCGGTGATGGGGGAGAGGGTAGCACAGGGAACGCGACCAAAGAAGGGTGACGAATACGGACCGGCTATCCATACAGGCCACCGCGGGAATGTCGAAGCGTCGTGACACGCAACACTCGACCAGGAGCCGAGGCGGTTTGACCGTGCGCGTCACTGGGCGTGTGTTGGGAGGCTGGGATATAGGTTGTCTGGCTGCTGACACGCGGCATGCTTGCATCACCTCCTCCTCCTCCTCCTCCTCCTCCTCTCACCATCGCACGCTCGCACCCCCGGCTGCCTCCATGCCATGTTGCGTGCCGCACACACCCGGGCGGGACGACGCTCGGCCGGAGCCAGCTGCGCAGCAAGCCGTTGCCATGACAACGCGCATCAACCGAGTGACCAGAGCGTGCGCGCGCGGAGTGCGGTCCCCGACTCGCTTCTTGCGCTACGCCAATACGGGAGCTAATGCGATCGGTCGCTGACTCGATCACGCGCGCAGGGGTGTCTTACGACGACGGCTGATAGAGAGCTTCGGTCCTTTCGGCCTGAGTTCACTGTTTCGTGAAAGACTGCGTAAGAGATGGATAGGTTACTTTGAATTGCAACTTCTCGAGAATTACTTCGTGAATGCTTTCGAGTTTTGCGTCCCACTGAGCGGAATTGAGTATTTCGTGAGAAACGTCGAAACGCCGACTTTCTTGGTTAAAACGTAATTTGAATGAAAACGACACGCGACACTTATGCAAAGCTAATGTCCTTGACCGACCCAGCTGAGGGTGCGGATGTGGTTGGGGAGAGAAACCGAAACGGCGGACCGACGATGACACCAAGGTAAAAAAATAACGCAATTTTTTCTCCGACTTTTTTCGATTTGGGATTACGGCCCCCCCCACCGCCGCCGCCCTCGCCGCCGCCGCCGCGCCGCCCCTCGTCACACGGTTACATGTTGGAAATGGCGGCCGGCGGCTGCTTCTAGCCTATCAATCGTCTCCCACATCCCGCTCCTGCACGCTGCTGCTGCTGCTGCTCTGAGATGATAATATGACGTAGCCTACGCCGGCGATATACTGCGACTGGAGACAAATACTTCTGCAACGTTGGGTCGGACTGTGAGAACACAGTGGCGTGGGTGTGGACAGCAGTCCCGCACTAGTCAGTTTATTTCTTCCGGTGTGATGTTGACACGTCCTCGTGACAGCTTCGACTGCAGCAGAACGCAACAATGTCACTGGCGGTCGTTAGCAACCTGGCTTCCACGTTGTTGGGCAGCGGCAGCCGACGGTGGGGTCAGGGGGTGCAGTCAGAGGTGAGGGGTTATGGGGTGGGTTAGGGACAAGGGCGGGGTGGGGTTAGGGGACAAGGGCAGGGTGGGGTCAGGAGTCAGGGGTCAGGTGAGGTCAGAGGTCAGGGGTCAGGGGTGGTGCGGGTAGGTGGGGGGGGTGAACACGTTCGACTTTTGAGAGACTGCTGTGAGATGTGCCACGTGCATTCACTCTGTAGAAGGAGCGTTCACGTTGCGTTCCCCCTGTAAGGTTTCCCACCTGCGAACACCTCACTACACTCTGTAGAACTAACATACGTGTGAGGTTAGTGCGTGTAAAACACTGCAGCCTTCATTATAGAATAGAGAGGGACTGAGAGGCTATAGTGCCAGTAGGTCTGAGGCATGTTGATTTCATTTAATTTTGATAGATTAATTCGTGCACGTATATAATATTATCATAAAAATATGGAAAATTATCACGTTATTAAGTATAAGTATATTATTAATGTGGACGTATCGTATATAAATAAATAAATAAATAAATAAATATATATATATATATGAACATATCGTTCATCCTCTCTCAATTTAATTACATATGAGAAGTCTTACTCCCATATAAATTAGTGACATTTATTACGCTGCACGCATTCACTCGGGTCCATCATGGCTACGTGAGGAATCAGGCATGATGTAGATCTGCTAAGTTCGTGCTGCGATAGACGACACATGACCACCAGCGGCTACCCACCTTATAGTCCCGGCGAGTAACGGATTGATGGCATAGAGCCAGTCGTGCACCTCCTTGTCTCCCATCGTCTGCATGAGAAACCCTCGATGCTTCGTGCAGACGGAGAAGGTGTTGCGCACCTGAGGAAGAGATCGTGGGAGCGGATGAATGAGAGACAATGATAAGTGAGTGCAGGATCTAAGAACAACGACTGCGATGAATGACAGCTATGCGTGTGTGACATCATGCTTCATGGCTTAGCCACGCCCCCTCTTTATTGTTCTCTCTCTCTCTCCCTCTCTCTCCCCCTCTTTCTCCCATTCTCTCTCCCCCTCTTTCTCCCATTCTCTCCGTCTCTCTTCCCCCCTTTCTCCCCCCTGCTCTCTCTCTCTCTCTCTCTCTCTCTCCCTCCCTCCTCTCTCTCTCTCTCTCTCTCTCTCTCTCTCGCCCTCTCTTTCTCTCTCTCCCACTCTATGTCTTTTTCTCTTTCTGCCCCTGTTTCCCTCACAGCTCTTTAGACTATGACGAGTAAGCCTGAATATTCCCCTCCCTGCAACGCTTCTCTCAGTATTCCTCCTCCTCACTCCTCCTTTGCTTCCGCTCTACCTCCTTGCCCTTCTCTTCTACTTCTCTACCTCCCCTCTATTTCCTTTCCCTGCTCTCCCACTTCCCTCCCTCCCTCCCCTCTGCCCTCTTTCTCTTCTCTATCTTCTTTTCCTCCCATCCCGTCCCTCCCATTCACCATCCCACCCTTCCTTCTTCTTACTCGTCTCTCTTCTCCCTTCCTCCTCCTCTCCTCTCTCGCTTCCTTCTCATGTTAATCTTCGGCAGGCAGGTTACATACCTGCAGCATGGCCTGTGTGTCCTCGCTGTACTCCACCTGTGCCGTGGCGAGGTTGATAAGACCTCTCTCCACTGGGTCCTTCTCGTTGTTGTAGAGGAAGATATAAGGACGACGCACCACCTGTGAACACACACACACACGCGCAGCATGTAACGACACGATACGATGAGAACTAACAGCAATAACTGACGTTATTCACTGTCAGTGACACCAATACTGATCACTGGTTGTGGTCAGGCCACATGCTACGATCGTAACCCAGTCCCATAATAGTCTTGTTGTATTGTCATGTTGTCTTGTTGTATTGTCATGTCTTGTTGTATTGACATGTTGTCTTGTTGTATTGTCATGTTGTCTTGTTGTATTGTCATGTTGTCTTGTTGTATTGTCATGTTGTCTTGTTGTATTGTTGTATTGTCATGTTGTCTTGTTGTATTGTCATGTTGTCTTGTTGTATTGACATGTTGTCTTGTTGTATTGTCATGTAGTCTTGTTGTATTGTCATGTTGTCTTGTTGTATTGTCATGTTGTATTGTTGTATTGTCATGTTGTCTTGTTGTATTGTCATGTTGCCTTGTTGTATTGTCATGGTGTCTTGTTGTATTGTGTAACACCAATCACTGGTTGTGGTTCATGCCATGGTCACAACTCCATTGCATAATATAGTCTTGCGGAGTTAGTTGGATCAAAAAACACATTCTTTGCGTGTCTTTAGGAATGACTGCATTACAAACTTGTGCACGGAAAAATAAATACGATTTGCACATAGCAACGTCACTGAATCAATCAGTTCTTGCTGCTTGCTGCGATTCGCCTGGCTTATGATTACACATCAGGAAATTAGAACTTACCACCCAGCGCTTGACCCAGCCGCTGGTCTTCTCCTCGAGGAAGTTGAGCCAGCCCTTGCGTGAGACGACTGGAGAGAGCCTCACCTCCTCAATCTCAGGTACAAACAGACTCATCTGCAACGCGTGGAAAACACGTCAACGACGAGAAGTGTGCACAGCGGCAGCAAAACACTACACACGCACATACAAGCATTCATGGCACGTACGCACACACACACACACACACACACACACACACACACACACACACACACACACACAGACACGCACACACACACACACACACACACACACACACACACACACACACACACACACACACACGACACNACACACACACACACACACACACACACAGACACGCATGCGCACACACAACACAACAGCAAACAACACACACACCCACACACACACACACACGCACGCACGCACACACATACATATGCACGCACGCACGCACGCACATACACATACACACCTGTTTGAGTGAATTAGATGAGCAAGACTTCTTTGCTCTGTCAGAGAAATCCTTGGCAGCCTCTTGAATGTTGTCACAGGAGTGTGACTTCTTCTTCCCAGATGGCGACACCGGTCTAAGTGTGAAATGACGGTCCCGATGAAATACATTTAGGGAATTTGAAAAATTCTGTGAACTTATTAGTGTATATATAACCCTCTTATTCTGTTTTTAGAATCAGAAAACCAATCACACGGTTTGTAAGGTCATATTTGAGCGAACAAGCTGTATGAAACCTGCCGCGTACAACATTATCAGCTTCTGCAGTCATATGACTTTACCATTATAATATTTACTAGGAGAAACATTCGCTAGTGCAAACATTTATTAGGCGAGACATTCCTTAGGGGGTAAATGCACGGCTGGCACTCACCTCAGGTTAGGTTCTAGCGTGTTGGGTGAGATTGCGGACATGATTGGACGTACCTCAGGTTAGATTCTAGCATGTTGGGTGAGATTGCAGACATGATTGGACGTACCTCAGGTTAGGTTCTAGC